TTTGTTTCTGGGTCATTTACTTGATCTTTGCTGATCGTGGAGTGTGTGAAATGTGCTGTGCCGGCTCTCAGTCACAGAGACTCCGTGAGATAATACAGGCAACAAAAATTTGCCAACTCTCATCTTGGCCAAGGGTGATTTCATGGAGGGGCCTGAAGGCCGGGTGGAGGCTGCCTTGGGAAAGGACTTACAGGCATCTCCTCTCTGCAGGGGCACTGGGGGAAGCCAGGCCACATCCGCATTCCTGCATTCCTTCGTTCCAGGGCCTTCCTTGGTCACTCCCGGACCTTCCCTCCTTCCCCACGTCCTGTGCTGTGTCGCAGCTCAGCTATTTAAAATTTTATTTATGCATAGAAAAACTGAGCTGTAGGCCAGAGGTGGGGGGTGAGAGGATTCACCAGACAGTGTGGGGAGCAGAACAGGTGGATCTACGTGAATACATTGCTGAGGGGAGCAGCGGGGAGACAGGAGAGCTGCGCCAGGTGGGTCACCTCCCTGACCCCATCAGACTGCGCTCAGGCTGAAGCAGCAGTGAGCGTGCTGAGGCTTAGCCTCCAGGCCACGGGGGCAGAGTTCAGCTATTTAAATGGTGTCTGACGTCATACGGGAACCTGTCCATCATGCTGGGTCTCTGCCACAAAGACAGGAGATTCACGTTTCATTAAATTTTTCCCCATCTTATCAATCTTCCCGAGTCTTATTTACCACCTAGAAGAATCCAGAAGGTTCTGGATGATTTCCCTTTTCATCCCCACAGTCCCTTTTAACAGTCAAGTCATAAACACCCAGGGCTGAGGGGAGCCTGGAGTACTGGGTGACCACAGACATTTTTTGTTGGGGGAAAAGGCCGTCCTGAACCCATTTCAACCCATTGGGGTTACCCTAGAACATCCTTATTGATAAGCCATAACAAGCAGTGGGTAGGCAATCACTTTAGTCTCTCAAAACAACTGAAAATGGTTCAGTCTCACCTCTGAACCAGCGCTGCATGAAGTAAGAGCTGGACAGACACAGCCAGGGGGTCTCTGTCTGGAAAGGGAGGTACTGGCGCCCCTGTGCCCATGGGGGCAGGTATCCTGACTGGCAAAGAGGGTCCAGTTATTTCATGAAGGGGCTGACACTTGGGGGCTGAAATGCTCTGGGATCTGAGACTCACTGCTGCAGGACAGGGGGCTGCCATTGGGGGAGGTCTGAGTCCACTGGGGCGCAATGAAAGTCACTCAGAGCAAGGGGAGCCCCCTCCATCCAGCGCTGCCGTCTGGCTGATGACGGGCTCTAACAGCCAAACCCCACTTACCTTGACTCAAAGCCCACGCTCCCGTCAGCTTTAAGTTGCAAGGGTGATTCGTTGGCTCCTTCCGATTCCTCTCCTATTTCACCCCTTTCAGAGTTTGAAGGTCGCTGGTGGCTGGAAGAATTTACCACATAACGGTTCTCAGCACCCACACTGCAGGGTCTAAAGAGAACCCAGGGTTGCCCTTGGTGATCTCACCCCACCCGGGGCGTGCACCCCAGCACGTCACTGATGATGAAGTTTGTCACTCCTGGGGGTGCTGCACCTGCCCACCCCGGCACTGGCAGTTAGGGGTGGAAGCTCCAGTGGGGGGGGGGGGCAAAAGCCACCCCCTGCACAGAGCAGCACTGTCAGCAGTCTGTCTAGAAGCGGCAGCTCTGAGGTTTCCTCCTAGGAGACTGGGGCCAGCCGGACTTGGGGAGCAGAGGTCACTGAGCTGACCTTCACACACACCCCTCCGGGCCGCAGGCCATCTGCTTGCTTGCTAGAAGCCACACCAGGGAGCACGGTTGGGGACAAAGTCCTGCATAGTGACACTCCAGGAAAGCAGTCACATTTGCATTTGAAAAGTGAGTACCCCTTCCTGGAAATATTCACAAGAAAATTAGATGCAGTTACCCTTTTGGGCTGCTTGGGGTTTGCCTTGGGGGGGGGGGGGCTGGAGCTGACGGCCAGTCCCAAGGAAGAGGCAGGACACTGTCAACCGCTAGTCCGAGCCTACTGACTCTCTCCAGTAAAAACTCACGGCCAGTTCTTGAAAGTGTTGTGGATTCTGAAACAAGACTGTGCCTGATTTATTCTGGCTCACAGGGCAATTTCTACTAAGTGAAAACTGACTTAGGATTAAACTTCTAAATGTTCCTTATGGAGCTGTTTCCTTAAGGACGGAGAAGAGCAAAAGACCCATGAGTGAGCTCATGGAAAAGCAGCACCTGGGGGCACCACTAGGGAAAATCACCTTGGTCACCATGTCACCTTCCTTTTGATAGTAAGATGAGTACTGGGGGAAATTTTGAGTTTACTGGAGTCAGAGCTAAGAATAGTCATGGCTAGAAAGTGCTTGAAACTTCCACTGGAAATTCTACTGGTTTCCCGTCCACGTCTTTAAACAGGAATGACAAGGGGCGTAACCGCCACCTAAGCAGGTGGAAGAAAATTCTCCAACTGTCCTGCTGTTTCTCTCTTCGAACAGGATATTGTTTCTTAAAGTAAATGAAGGGACTAGTTAATGAACTGGGGTTCAGTAAGAGTGCATGGTGGTCCCCAGGAAAAACGGGGCTCCAGCTTCCCAGCCCCACCCAAAGGAGGGTGGCGCTGGGCAGGGAGAAGAATCAGGAGACTGAGGAAGAAGGAAGCAGGATGGAGCCAGAGGACCTGAGGGAGGCCCAGGAGCAGAGACGCGTGAAGAAGCGGCTCTTGCTTCTTGGCCCTGGACTGGTTGAACAGACGTGGGCCACAGACCTTGGGGAGGTTGACTGCGGCCGTGTTTATCTTGATTTTGCTCTCTTCCTCCCAGACTTGTCTGGCCACTTCTGACCCTGTTCTAGGGTCCCCACCAGAAGGTGCTTTAGACTTGATTTGGGCTTTTCTGGCCTTGCTCTGGGCCAACCCCTTTTGGGTGGACTTTTACCCATGAGGGGACGTGTCCCTTCGGGTGTTTGATTTAGAAACTATATCATCTGTTCTGTATTGCACACTCATTGCATTAAAGTTCCTTTCCATGAAAGGTCTTATGTATTTTGTCTTGATGCAGTAGACGGCAAAACTTATTTAAAGAGGGCAGGTTCGGGGGTTCTGGGTGTCCTTCTCACTCTGGGCACCGAAATTCAGAGCAGGGGGCAGCCTGGTTTCTGCTTTGCCACACAGCCCAGGACACGGACGGGGCTCGGGGGCCCTCAGCCCAGCCCTCCTCAAGGGCGGGACCTTAGCTTCTGGAAGGACTCGCGGGGAGCCGCGAGGGGCTCACGGCTGCAGGAGCTCCCAGCCCGTCCATCCACCATGCTGCCTCTGAGCCTGCAGCACCCTGCGCCTGCACCGCGAGAGCATTCAAGTGTGACAGGTGGGGCCACGGGGTGGTGACCCCTACTTCTAGCCTAGCGTCGACGTAGTTTCTTTCAGTTACTCATCCAGCCCCTGGGTTTGCCAAACTGGGTCTGAGCATGGCTGCAACATTGGCGCAGTTTCACGGGGCACGGGGTAGACATCTCTAGAGCTCTCTCTCAAATCTTGCCCGTGGGAACCTGGCCAGGTTCCCACGTCAGATGAAGGAGCACAGTGGGGAATTCTGCAGACTCATTTGCACACAATGAGTGAGTGGACGACAAATGAAATTCCAGGGCTAGAAATGAGAAAGGCCTGTTTGCTCACATTACCTCCTCTCTCCTTCCTGTAACAATTCCAACAGATGTTTCTGGAAGTGTTTTTCACTTAAAAAGTTACCTGTTGTGTTCCCAATTATGTTCTATCTGACCACCTGCGTTCTTCATTCCACTACCCACCCATCACTTAACCGAGATTATCTGGCTTCAATGGTGGGGGGTGGGAGGGG